TGGGGCCTTATATACATGAAGGGGGAAGGGAAGAACTAAGAAGAAGTGAAAATAAACAAAGCGTCCCACACACAACAGTTGCCCAATCCCAGCTTTTGATACACAAACACTCACTCTGAAGCTTGAATTAGCTACTTCAATGTCTTGTTTGTGTTCCTTCTCTTTAGTAACTAACACAATCCCTTTTATCATAACCCAAAAAAAAAAGAAAAAAAAAAAGCTCTTGTCTCTCTCCCGTACTTGAAAAAGAAGAGCTTCTATTTACTTTTCGATATAGTAAGATCTAGTTAAATTCTTTAGCGAATCACTCCAAAGTATAGCACATTAGTAAGCTTAAGCTCTTTCTTTATCTTTAAACTACGTTTTTTTATTATGATTCAATTTATGTAATAATGGAGATTGCTTTCAAGGATTTGAATATCTGGCCTCGAGAGTATATGCATAAACTAATTGTGTTATGTTTAGATTGTATTTAAACGAGCTATTAAAGTGAAAGAACAAATCTCAACAACGAAATACTTTACGCTCTTATGGAAATCCCTTTTTCTTTTTACTTCAAAAGAGTTTTCATCATGAGGCGTAATCATGGAAAAAGAAAAATCCTATCCAAACAGAGCATAAACAAACATCAATGGCCCTACTCCCTCTCTTTTCGTATGCAATTTGTGTAGACTAGGATCTCATATCATTTCTAAGGTTAAAAGTATCTCGATATTCTTGCTCTATAGTTTATAATTACCCTACACATAAATTATTAATTTCTAAATTTTTTAATATCTTATCTACGGAAAACAATAAGAATAGTAAATTTCAAATGTGGAGATTTAGTGGCAAAAGGTGATAGAAATCTTTACCTCATAAGTCTAATATATTTTTAAAATATTATAATATGCTTTTATTTATTTTATTATTATGACGAGTCTAATATATTTTAAAATTTCTAATATCGAGCCTAATAATTTTTTTATGGGCGCTCGTTAACTTTTCCGTAGATGGAATAGAGGAATGGAAAAGAGAATAAAAATTTCAAAATTCTAAAGAAATAATCACTTGTCACAAAGCTAATGTAAAGGTGAGAGTGACCGGTGAGCTTTAAGCTTGTGTATGATATTAATCCATTAAAAATAAAATTGAAATTTAAAAAATTATATATATATATATATTTTATTAATTGGTGAAGGCTCAATTTTACAAAAAAAATGGATAGAAATATTAAAAATAATAAATAGATATTTTGACCGAAAATAACCTAATGAATAAGGTAATTAATTCAATTGAAAAAAATGCAATATCTAAACTATATTTTTCAAAATTATTTTATTCTTCAAAATTTCCATAGGCTTCATATCTTCGGGGGCGGACCAGTCACCGGAAAAGGCTGTAACTGCCAGTATACGGCTGCTAAAACGAAACCGTTGATATCTTAACCGCCCAAACGCCTCCGTCGAAACAAACAGGGATTCTCCAATTTCCGATTATAAATTACTCCCGCAGTTGGATTCGATTTTACCGAAGTTCAGAATTAGTAGTAGAATCTTTTCCTTCCTTCTGCACAGTACTCTTTTAGCGATAATGGAGTCCGGCATGGTCGTCTCAGAAGCCATCTCTGAGCTCAAGAATGAAATCCGTAATGAGGAGGAAAAGCTCCTGGTCGTTGCTCCAGATGGTGAGGTTAAGGAGATCGCTGTTTTGACCGAGATCAAGAAGAAGAGGAACCAAATCCAGGTTTCCAATGTCAAGAAGCCGTTCTTCTACTACTACAATCTTTCTAAGGTATTCATTTCTTGCTTCCTCAAGATCGTCTGTGCCTTTCTGTTGAATCAATTTCTTTATTAGAAAATCAAAACCGTGATTGATTCGACGTTTGCAGAGGTACATTAAGCAGTACAACGAAGTTGAGCTCTCTGCCCTAGGAATGGGTACAAGTTTTCTTGAATCCATTTCTTTTTCATATTTTGTTAAGAGATCGATGTGGATAACTGGGTTGAGTTCCATTCATTCATTGATTCATATTTCATAATGCAGCTATACCTACTGTAGTGACGATCGCCGAGATTCTGAAGAAGAATGGATTAGCATTTCAAAAGTGTAGGAAAATTTATCGAACTCATTGGCCATTTAATCTCTGTCTTTGGGAATACTGCTGTCTTTAAACACGATTCTATAATTTGGAAATTTCTGCAGATTTGACGATATCTTCTGTAAGCTTGAAGAATGGGGAAAATGATAGGCTGGTTATGAAACCTAAGGTTACTGCTTACTAATGCAAATATATTGTCCAAGTTTTGGATGTTTTAATTATGTGTTCTTCTTCAATCTTGTTTGCTAGATTGAGATTGCCCTGATAAATGCAGAAAAGATGAAGAAAATTTCGACTGCTACAACAAGTGAAGATTCCTGATATGAGTTTTGTTAGTGTAGTATGATCTCGGATGTGGCTTTTCTTCTTGTTTAGCCTACTTTGTCCAGAGTTTCTACAGGAGATTGGAGATTTGGTAGCGAATAGGCGAGTGAATGGCAGAGCTTTTGGTCGAAGTAGATTCAATCCTAACAGAACTGAAGGAGAAGAGTCCATTGTTAAAGATTGGATGTAGAGCAGCTTTCTTTGTAATTCAACTACCAAATTCTAATTGCATATAAAATTGAATGAACAGACTGATTCATTGTCTCTTTCTCTTGCACTACTAACGCACACACTAATCATCTAATTCTGAAGTCATCCACCAGGCGTCTATATGCAAATTCAGCACATAATTTTGAACTTCAGCTATTGACCAGAGGATAACAAAGTAGATTAATACCTTTATAGCAAGCCATGAATCTCAAACTCATTGAGGATGCTCTGTATTACTGTCATGTTTCTCTGCTTAATTACTGCCTAATTACTTCACTAGTCTTGAAAGAGTGCAAAATTTAAAACATTTTTGTGGAATCTCTTTCTAATATATGCGTTTTAAAAATCTTGAGGGGTGGCTCGAAAAGAAAAACTCAAGAGAGGACAATATTTGCTAGTAGTGTCAGTGAGAAGTTTGAGCCCTGAAGGGGGTGAGGACAATATTTGCTAGCGGTAGTGCTTGTGAGAAGGTCGAGCCCCGAAGGGGGTGAGGATAATATTTGCTAGCGGTAGTGCCCATGAGAAAGTTGAGTCCCGAAGGGGGTGAGGATAATATTTGCTAGCGGTAGTGCCCATGAGAAAGTTGAGCCCCGAAGGGGGTGAGGATAATATTTGCTAGCGGTAGTGCCCATGAGAAAGTTGAGCCCCGAAGGGGGTGAGGATAATATTTGCTAGCGGTAGTGCCCATGAGAAAGTTGAGCCCCGAAGGGGGTGAGGATAATATTTGCTAGCAGTAGTGCCCATGAGAAAGTTGAGCCCGGAAGGGGGTGAGGATAATATTTGCTAGCGGTAGTGCCCATGAGAAAGTTGAGCCCCGAAGGGGGTGAGAAGGGGGTGAGGATAATATTTGCTAGCGGTAGTGCCCATGAGAAAGTTGAGCCCCGAAGGGGGTGAGGATAATATTTGCATAATATTTGCTAGCGGTAGTGCCCATGAGAAAGTTGAGCCCCGAAGGGGGTGAGGATAATATTTGCTAGCGGTAGTGCCCATGAGAAAGTTGAGCCCCGAAGGGGGTGAGGATAATATTTGCTAGCAGTAGTGCCCATGAGAAAGTTGAGCCCGGAAGGGGGTGAGGATAATATTTGCTAGCGGTAGTGCCCATGAGAAAGTTGAGCCCCGAAGGGGGTGAGAAGGGGGTGAGGATAATATTTGCTAGCGGTAGTGCCCATGAGAAAGTTGAGCCCCGAAGGGGGTGAGGATAATATTTGCATAATATTTGCTAGCGGTAGTGCCCATGAGAAAGTTGAGCCCCGAAGGGGGTGAGGATAATATTTGCTAGCGGTAGTGCCCATGAGAAAGTTGAGAGAAAGTTGAGCCCCGAAGGGGGTGAGGATAATATTTGCTAGCGGTAGTGCCCATGAGAAAGTTGAGCCCCGAAGGGGGTGAGGATAATATTTGCTAGCGGTAGTGCCCATGAGAAAGTTGAGCCCGGAAGGGGGTGAGGATAATATTTGCTAGCGGTAGTGCCCATGAGAAAGTTGAGCCCTGAAGGGGGTGAACACAAGGCGGTGTGTCAACAAGGATGCTGAACCTCAAAGTGGTGGACAATAGTGTGTCAGTAAGGATGCTAGGTTCTGAAGTGGACATCGATTCTGAGTTCTGGATCCTACTTGAAGTGGACATGAGTCCTGAAATAGACATAAGGAACCAGTGCTAGTAAGGACCATAAATCTGGGACGGAGTAGATGGTGAGGTACACATCTTTTTTCTAACTAATTAAGATACTAAATTATAAAAAACTTAGGAGATAAAAACTAAATTTAAGCCCAAAATATAAATTGGGGGAGGGTATATATTTTAAAATTTAAAACATAAAAGTAAACCAATATCTTTATAACTTTGGGGTCGTTTTCTTGACTCAATCAATGCATGGAAATTTTATATTTTGAAATACTAATGACAACAAAATAAAATATTAGGTAGAAACAGCCTAACGTTACAAAATTTTGCCTTCAAACATTTAAAGAAACATTAGGAAAATGTATGTTAGATTTATATATATGTGGTGGTTTTGAGATTACTTGGGCTTCTAATTTATTTGACTTTGATGTAATTTATTGATTTTAATCAAAGAAAATATAATGGATAAAGTTGCTTTGTCATTTTTTTTCACATTTTATCAAGAACTTATCCTATTGATTAATTAATATTTAGTTGGTACAAAATATGAATCCAAAACATTAATCAATGAATCAAAGTTTGACTTGATTTCATATCGCTACCATTCATATTCAGCCACATCAATATTTATTATATTATTTTCTTTACTATATCTCCTAATAACATCAAATAATGAAATAATTAAAATTTAGTGGGTCAATTCATTATATTTCAATGGAATAGTCATATTTTTAGAATTATAATAAAAACTCTCTCTTTTTTAACAAAAAACCGCATAAAAAGCCTTGAGAAAGAGTTCACCAAAGGTAGCTGCAAATAATTAAGGATGTCTCTCTGTGATGGTAACTATCTATACACCTATTTAATGTCGTTTCATTTTTTTCCACAATAACAGTGTGATATTTTTGTCTGTGATGGAAACTATAAGGTAAAACGTCGTGGCCGGAGCTGGTCGGAAAACATGGAAAGGCGGCGGAGGAGGCGATTGAGAGAGAGGTGGCTTGGGTAAATGCTAAGGTTGTTCAAGAAGGAACCACTTTGGTGACTGCTGATTATAGATGTGATAGGGTTTGGGTTTGGGTCAATAAACATGGCTTCGTTACTAGAATTCCCATCATCGGTTGATAAATTACCTTCTTCAATGTCATCAAACTCCCTCTTTCTCTCCATCTCCATCTCTCTTCTTAGTTTATTACTCTACTCGATGTGAAATTATAGGTAACGAAAGTATGTGATTCTAAATCTTATCAAACATGACGGTCTGATTCTCAGGGATCTTTTGTTTACTTTAAAAGATGGCTAAAGTCCATCAATTTTGCTTTAAATAGGCATTACCATAATGATGTGGATGCCTTGTTACCCAATTGAAAAGACAGATTTTGAGGAAGTGGGTCATTTTGAAGATGAATTTCAGGTCAAATTGAGAGTTTCAGGAGTTGAAAATACGTGTCTAACTCAATCTAATTATCCTACAAAAAGTGTATTGATTATGTGTGCCATTACAATATAGACATCCTTGGCACGAGACGTTGATGCGTCTTGAGTAGATCAACATATCTTTAATCCATGCATCCACCCGTAAGGAATCACGAGTATTAATAAATAGATATGCATAAACGGAAAATGAAATTGCAGTATTTTTATTACAACAAACCCGATGAGTACATAAAAAAGAAGAAAGATAAGAATCACCTTATTGAAATATTGATGTTGTAGGAGGAACAAACATGGATGGGATTTATATATTTGGAAACACACAACATTATGATTAAAATGGTTATTAACCAATGAAAGGAGTCCTGGTGACGATGCCTGTTTTGACAGTCACCCAAACCCAAACCCTGTCGCACCTAAAGTCTTGAATCACCACCGATCCTTCATCCACAATAATGGCATCCACCAAAGGATTCTCCTTCTCGATAATCCTCTCTGCTTCTTTCCCTTCCTTACCCACCAGCTCCGGCCATGAGCTCTTTCCTTAACCATCGCAAAAACAAACCCATATTAAATCTTATTTACTTACTTCTTAACAAAACAATATGAACAACATGTACCTTTGCACGTTGTAGACATCCTTAGCGCTTTGTGATTCAGCTTCTTGTGATTCAGCTTCTTGTGATCATCTTTGTGGGGGAGAGAGTGGGTTTATATAGAGCTGCGGTTTTCTTCTATCCCACGTAAGAGAAAAGAGGCCTTCAAGGTGTCCACATAATACTATTCAAAATTTAACATACAAACACAAATGGAAACTAAATTTGGGGATTAGGGTTAGCGAAAAGTCGTAAATGGAAGATGGAAAAATGGGAGGAGTGAGGTTGAAAAGACAAAAACAACACCACCATCTGGTTTAATTATTCCAATGTGTGTGTTTAGATTTGTTCATATAAACACGAATGTGAGAGTTCATGCACACATGGTTTCATGATATCTATCTCAATAGTATGAATGTGGGGAAGAAAATGTAACATGAAATGGTTGTTTTTGTCAAAATAGTTGAATTGAATTTAGATTCAATAACTTGTGCCACACAATTTAACTTCCAATTCGTTTTTTCTTTTTTGAATTCAACGGTGTTACGTGATATCCCACGTTAATTGAAGTGAAAAACGAGACATCATTTATAAGAGCGTGGAAATTTTTTCCATGTAAACGTGTTTTAAAGCTTTGAGGGGAAGCCCGAAGCCTCTGCTTCGGTCTTCTAAATCAAAAAAGTCAAATAAAAACACCTCAGAAATGAAGGCCTTACCCTATATAAACCCACTTCCCCATACAAAAATAAAGCACAAGAGCCTGAAAGGAAAAAGAAAGCTCAAAATCACACCCAAGATGTCTTCATGCAAAGGTACATATATCATTAGTAAATGTTGTTGTTTATAAATGTATGTAATGTTGATAAGCTTTTGGTGGCTGGTTTAGGAAAGAGTTCATGGCCGGAGTTGGTGGGTAAGGTGGGCAAAGATGCAGAGGAGATTATTGAGAAAGAGAACGCTTTGGTTGATGCTATCATTGTTGATGAGGGCTCCAACGTCCCTTTCGACTTTCGGTGCGATAGGGTTTGGGTTTGGGTAAGCCCGACAACTAAAATTGTTACTAGGACTCCAGTTATTGGTTAGTCCTTCTCTAGCTTCGGCTCTCACATAAAGTTCTATCTATATTTACAAACACCCTCCTCACGTTGTTGTACCAACATTGTGAATCTATGAATAAGATGTTTGTATTTTTTTTTAAAGTTGTTTATGTATTAAGTTTGGGTTTGTTGTAATAAAAATATCTACTCTTGTGTAATTTCATTTCGATTATCTATTAATCTACCTATTAGCATGTCTTTAAGTATTGACCTTGAGTAATTAGAAAGTACTTCATAATTATTGAGACTAAAAAAAATTGTAAATTAGTGTGTTGATTATATTATGATGTGTGTGTTTGGGTGATCGGGAAACAGGTCATCGTCGTAGTTTATGGGACAAAAAGTGTAACCGCTCGAACCCACTGCTAGCAGATATTGTTCGGTTTGACTCGTTACATATTGTCGTCCGCCTCACAGTTTTAAAAATATACTTCGTTCTCCTCTCCGATCAATATGAGATCTCACAAGAAGGCTTTATTGCGAAGGCCACGTGAGAGGCATCGTTTGCTGCACTTGGGGTTCGGGTTTGGGTCACAAGACTGGATTTGTTGCAAGCCCACCTACAATTATATAAGCACAAAATATGAAAACATTCTCGTACATAATTAAATACAATATTAAACTTTTAAGTCTCCAACCAAATGGAGCATTAAAGAATTAAGGAAGGATTTTCTTCTTACTTACCCGACAATAATAACTTTTGTATTTATTAGTTTAGAATTACAAGTCAAATAAGTAAAATATTTTGAAAAAAGATAACATATATACCTACTTAATTATGTCAATGTCGGAATAACCATTTTAAAATTCATCATTTTCCAAACTCAAACATTAAAGTATTACATAAAAATGTAATCTAATGAAATTGAAAGTTTAGAATAAGTATATAAATTAAAATAAAAACGTGACCAAACAAACACGTCCAATGCGTACACGCATGAATTTGTACACAAAAATTCCAAGGGATAAACCTTATTATATATCCAAAGTGAATAAATAATTGTGTCGCCAAAGTAATGCCGCACTTGAAATAGCATGGGGGCTGCACCACCTTTTGTTCTGCCTAAAATAACCAAACTTTACAATTCCAATACGTAATTCCATTCCAAATTCAAATGGGTTTTTCTTAATCTAAACTCCAATCAATTCAAACATGTATACATTAAATAAATCTCCCGTAACTTCTCCCCACTTTCCTTCAAAATTATCATACAAATGTAGGATTTATATATACTATGGTCTAAATGTCTCGAGAATGGCATTTATTTGAGTTGAGTCCGAAGAATCTTGCATGAATTCAAGGAAATATAAGGATGGAGAGTTCTGTTGAATTGAAACAATGATATAATTCAATTTCCATGGACATTATTTACAAACAATCTTGCAATGAATTCAATATGTTACACACAAGCTAACTGACTTCTAGCTTCCAACAATCCGAGCGGCAAAATAAACCACCTTTTTGGATTATGAATGGAAGGAGGGAAAGGATGAATATCAAAAGCAGATATGGTAGGCTTCCACACGAACACGTGCAGCATGGCGTTCAGTGAGCGCTTGGACGTCGAGTCGAATGGTTGATGGTGTAGTGCCTCACTTTCTGGGGACAGCCGGGGCCGTTGGTGCCGGGAATGAAGGTGCAACCGGAGGGGCCGGAGGGCGGTACACTGACCCTTTGAAGAGACTGCAGCTTCAGCTTCAGCTCCAGCTCCGTTCTTCTCACCATTGATGGGTTCTCATGCAGAGTTCTACCAGCTATGTTTGGGTGAAGCTGCAAGAGAAAAAGAAGGAAAACCATTGCCAGAGTAAGAGATATGCGAAGAATTTTCATATTCTGTTTCTGTTTCCCTTTCGAGAGATTAAATGAAAGAAGAGGTTGAGTTTGTTGATGGGATTGCAACGATATTTATAGTAAAATGAAGAGTGTCAAGTTTTGGATTATTGTACAAGCTGCAAGGATTTGACCAAAGCCTCGACAGAATTGAATGGGTCCTCTCCTAACCACTAATAGAGGCAACTTTGATTTGAACAGGAACATTCTTGAGGACTTCAAGAGATATGTATGTGTGTATGTATCAGGCATGATGTGTGTAGCATTATAAGAATGAGGCGAAAGATAGCGACTTTCATGGTGGAGTTCATGCGAGGAAATTTCCAGCAAAGCAGGCAGAAGATGAAAGTCAAAGGGAAGAACTTTGTTTTGCTTGGATAGCAGATGGGATTTGTCTAAGGTGAGGGATTGGATTAAATATTCGTTTGATTTTGAAACAGATACACAGAAAGGAAATATTATTGAATGGATGGAAAAGAAACAAAAGAGAAAAATACTTGAGCTCTATTTAGCAGAGGTGAGGTTTCAGGGTATTGTCGTATACGCAATACGTTTTTGACCAATAACCAAATAGACAGGAAACTCGAAAGGTGAAGTAATCAAAACCTCGACGATACGACTAAATTTGCATTTAAGGCTAGCAAAGAGAAGGCGATGAAGGCACTCTTTACAAATTGTTTTCTTATGAGAAGGATTACAACCCCACTCCAAATCCAAGACCCCAACAATTTCCTGGTACGTTATTACAGTGGACAGTACCCACCAAGTCTAGGCAGGGAAGCCAAATTCCATCCATGTTTTGATCTTTGTGTTAGTCAGTGACCATCTGAGGGTCGATACACATTGTAGCCATTGATCCCTTGCGCCATATTTGAGTATTCTGCATTGAGATATTGATAACCATCAAAGTCTAAAGCCCTTGTCCCAAGTAAAGAGAGATCAGAAGCCGGTCGCCAGTTCGGGACCAACCCATCGATCTGCCCATTTAAGTGCTGCTGTTGTTGAGTGGATGGTGGAATAAAATCCATGGCTGGTTCGTAATGGCTTATGGAAGAGCTATATCCCCGTTGAAACCCACCATCATGATAACTGCGTGTCCGCTCAAACCTGCAGCAAGAGCTTGTTGAGGACCCTACATCACCAGCCATCACCCCCATGTCACCAGGGAGTGAGAACTGCCTGTTCAACAGACTCGGTCCATTGCCAAGAGATCGGAACATTGAGTTGTCTCTGGCTGAAATCCCAACAATATTTTCATCATCAAGAAGATCGTTGATTATATCGAGGTGGGGGAAATCCTCTACAAAACCTTGGAGCTGACGACCAGACGTACAAGCTGAGAACTCCCCTGTCAGAGCTTCAGAGGTTGAACCACGAATTGGCTTCTTGTATAAATCTTGAACTTCATTGAGCAGGGAGGAATTGTAATGCATGCTCCTCACAGCTTCCCTCTGTGAAGCCTCTACCCACTGGGGACTATTCAATAAGACGTCTCGGGTTACCATGCCAAAAGGAAAACTTGATCTAACAGCATTGGAATCTAACCTGTCGGAGTTGTGTGGTACAAACATGGGCGAAGAAACCATAGCAGATGCCAAAGAGAAGGCTGAAGATGGGCTCATGCCTGAAGTTGAGGTGCTCAGATGAACATATCCAGCACTGCTCGGAGGTACATGGTTGCCCATTATGGCATTTCTATAAGACTGGGGAGCATAACTATGTGTGGCTGGAGAAGGGTCTGGACCCAATCGGCCAGCTGCACTCACTGAACGAGCAAGCAATGGGGATGTATGGACCACAGTAACAACAGGTGCTGTAGCCCTTGGACCAGGAATTAGAGGTGCACTAGAAGGCCTTGACATCATAGGAGCTTGCTGTGCGGAAGCCTTTTCAGTTGGTTTTGGAATTGCAGACTTCTGACCCTCTGCTTTTACTGCACTAACAACATGGGATGAGGTAACTGCAGGAATAGTCTTCTCCATCTGATGTGCGCTATTTGACGATGATGCTTTAATTTGAATGGGATCAACGGTAGCAATACTCTGATTATTCAACTTCTGTTCTGCAGTTGGTGGCGTATGATCTTGGTGGTTCTGAGGGGAGGATGGTACAGCTGCTGGTGTATCTCTAAGTATCCTTTCCATATCAACCTGGATTTTAGAGCTTCGGTCTTTTGGCAATGAAATAACCTTTTCTTCCTAGTACAATGAACAAACTAAAAGTTAAAATGGACGTCTAATTTCAACATAGACGATCCTAATAACATTTAAGTGACATTATCAAATATGATTTATTCATATACTGAGACCGTTTTCAAACTCTAAGACTAAAATAGTCCGTAATTGAAGCCAATGAAACATAATAATAATCGAGAAGTTCGTCTGAAGTAAAAAATTGAAGACAACAAAAGGATGACAGACTTCTCAAGAATCTGAATGACACAGTAAAATAACACACTACGTCAATAATGAATAAAGGAATGCAACCTGAATTTGGCAACATCTACCGACACTTCTTTCCATTTCGTTCTTTTTCTTTACTTTTTTTGAGTTCGAAGCTCTTTCATTTATTCAGTCTAGAAGTTCAACATTTATGCATATGAGACGGATTAGGTGAGCACCTTCTTAACTGCCTGCTGGTCAACCCTTTTTATTTTACCCCGGAGGGAATGATTAATGGCCACGGGATCGGACTCTTTAGACTTATTACTACCACAAACATCACTCCGGTCCTCTTTGTCAGCTGTAAGCTCTGACGACTGACCATCCATTTCATTAGCACAAATGTTCCGATCATATGCTGCATCCTTCTGCCGATTCTTTCCGCTACAAAATCAAAGATGCAAATCACTATACAACCGAGATGCACTTTTAAAGAAATATAGTTCGCTCACTTACATGCTAGGTGATTTCTGCTTCTTGTAGTTGTGAAAGGAATTCTCCTTATATGGGCCGTTCATTACCACGGATGGAACAGAATCTGTAGAACACGTAGAAGAGCTATCATCCATAAGAGACAAGCCCTTCTTGTCAGATAAGGGTGTTTGGGCAGAAGACAGACTGATAATCCCACTGCTACTTGCTTCCGTTGAGGGATGGACTTCTGATGTATCAGTGTCCCAATTGACAGTACTGGCATCTCTGTCCTCTGAATCAGGCTGAAGTACTTCACCAGGGCCTTCAACAGAATCAGAGATATCAGATACAATCTCGGGCAAGTCAGACTTTTCAAGCACAGGCTGCACCTTATCCACAATGGCGTCTTCGTCCTTCCCACTGCCAGGATTTACTTGTTCTCTGATCAGCACAGTCAAATTTGCCTTCTCTTCTCTCCCTTTATCTTTACCTTTGCGGTTGTTACGTTTTTGTTTAGCCTGTTGAAAGAAATGACCTAAAATGGTGAGGAAATTATTGATAACAAGATGAATCGATGCAGGAAGAAAAACAATGAATGGGAAAAGTAGGGGTGGAGGAAAAGGAATTAAAAGAGAGACTGTAAATAATTCAATTGACGCGACACCTGTTTTTTCTTTGATTTCTTATCCTTTTCTGATGCTAATCGCCTAGCCTTTTGTTCACTTTCAGCCTGCCACGCTTCCTCTTCTTCACGAATGAGTTCCTCTTGCCTCTTCAATGCAACAGCTTCCTGATAGGCAACTTCAACTTTGCTGCTGTGAGTAAAGAGGGAAAAATAAATATACCATTCAACTTCAAGTTGGCAATTGAATCATATTTGATGCGAGAAACTGAGAATCATGAAGCAAGCTACCATTCTTAATAAACTTAAGAAAGAGATTGTGTAACCTAAGCTTTTCTCGAGAGAACATGCCACAAAAACCAACACTTCTGCTAAAGCTTTATGGTAATCAAGGCAAGTTATGGCACTATAGAAAATGCTCTCAAGACAAGGACAGCAAGATAATGGGAAAATATGATCTCTGTGTCATGCGAAATCACTGAAACGTATGAAGTCTTTACACCATGCTAGTACACTAGATGTAACAAGATATCCAGAAAACTACACATGAGCATAAAATTGTACTGTTTCACATCACATTTGTTGAATAAAGCAAAAGACAATTATTACGCAGGCTTGCAGCAAAAAGAACTCAAAGGGTAAGAAGCTTCCCAGCTAGAAAATTTACCGGCTTTTGTAAAGAAATTATAAAAACACAATACCTAAAGATATGGGCAAGAACAAATATTTCCACAGTCCTACGACCCAATTCTGTAAGACGCCTTTCATCGCGTTCAATGGTATCTTTGTTGAAGTCTTCTCCAGAGCTACCATCCTGCAGACAAGAGCTTGTGGTTTTTTCAGCTAACAACTCCAACATTACTAGGTATACAAATTATGGCATAAAAATATCCTTGCTCATAACTGATAATAAAATTAATGATAAAAGAACTGTATATCATCACTACGTGGTGCCTGTTTAAAATTCAACCCACAAGTTTGTTGCAACTAATTTAAGCGCTTTAGTCATAAAAATAGGTAGTGAACAAATCAAATACCTGGTTAATAGTTTACTTGTACCCCAGACCTATCCATTGTTAAACTTCCAATCAAACCATCTTTCTTCCCACATAAAGTTTTCAACAAGCATTATCAATCAGGCACTCACCTTTGTACGATTTTGAGGGCCCTTCTCCTCTTTTGGTGGTAATGGTTCAACAGCAGCCCTCTCGAGCAGTAATAGCACATCATCCACTAAAACAAATGTATCTTTCTCGATATGAACTATTGGAGCTGGCATCTCTTCAGCATCTAATAGTTTTGCTTTTCCCTTTTTACTCTTGGAATGCCCTTCGAGAGCCTTCAATCCACTGTATAACGAGTCCATAACTAAAGTAGATGTCACCTCCTTCTCTATAAAGAAGTGTTTTACAACCACTTTCAGAATTGTATCTGTCTTTTCCCTAGACATACGTCGTCTAGAATTCTGGTCAATTGCCAACCAGAACGCACGAAAACTGTAAGAAGTGAAAATGATAGTCATTAGAAAGCCAATAATGATGATGATGATGATGATAACAACAACAAAAATAGTGATAAGGATAAGGATAAGCTAGTCTATTTGCAAAAGGGACACAAAAAAAGGTCTAGAATTGATAATATATGCAAGTGGGCATGGAAACACTTCTATTTTTGTCTAGATTGTGAGGAAGTTTCGTGGTACAAACTTCTCAGGAGCTTTAGTGTAAGATTTCTCTTAAAGAAATTTTCTTCTTTTTCCTTCTTTTTTTTTTTTTTTTTTTTTCCTTTGA